AACGCAAATTTATATAAATTTTAATAATACTTTGTATTAATTCAGTTTATGATTATTAAAAATATCTTGTTCCATAATTGTTCCGTCATTATATTATCATTAAAAAAATAAATGACAAACAGTTTGAAATAATTCATGACCAACACATTTTTAATATTTTAATTTTAAAAATAATATGGTTGTTTTCTCGAATAATAGTTTCGCATACTTTTATCATATCTTGTGATAGAAAAATCAATTTCCTCTTACTTTTTAAAGTTATTAATATTGAATCAGTAGATTCAGCAGTTAAAAATAGAGCATGTATCACAAATATTACTTCGCAAAAGCTTTCTAATTACGAATCCACTGATGTATTTGACACATCTTTGATATAAGAACTTAATGACCATAGGTAGACAAATAATCATGATCAAATACATTAGTACATATCATTGGCTTCCGTGAATATACATCGCTTTATATTTGATTTATTTGCTGATGATGCATATAAAATTTGCACATCATCTATTAGACAATTCCCTCTTTCAGAAGCTTCAATTTCATGCCTAACAAGCAGGCGTTTATAACTGCTTTCGAATTGTTTGGCATTAGGGTTGTTGTTGAAACTCCTCTGCTACGTAGAGCACTAAAAATGTTTCCAAGTAATCTTGGTTTATTTTGTACGTAAGTAAATATTTTAGACCTTTTCTTTTAATATATCAAATAAATCAAATATATTTGTTAAGCAAATGATAAATCCCAAAAGCCAGTCTTTCGATTACTCTTTAAAATCGAATCGTTTGTAGAATATTGCAATTGTTTTATATATTCTATAATAATCCCTGCGTAATTCTTAAGTTCATTATAATTTTCATTGGTAAGAGGCATATTGCACTTTTTTTACAGAATTTTGATCTTACATTTAATATGTCGAAGGCATCATTAAATATAGAACAAAATGAAGCAGTTTCTTCTGCATTTGTAAAACTGATTAGGAAAGTTTTGATTGCAAAATTTCAAAGCTGTACTAACACTATCACTGAGTGTTTGGGCAGCCAATTTTACGTTTATTTTGAATTCTTATACAAGATGTGCCTTTTGTTAGCTTTGTACCAGCTTTTAAACCTTCAGTTTTCTGTAATTTTGTAAGGACACAATATTTTGCCAATAAATAGTTTTGCCTTTGTAATATAAAACTAATTTATCACCTAGAGTGTTTCGCACTAATTTGAGCATGTGGCATGGATCGTAGAAGCAAAAATTTTTCTTTTGTTATATTGTAAACAATATACGGCTTAAAATTGTTTCCCAATTCAAAATTTGCACCTAAAGCAGTGCACATGCTCAAATTAACGATTGCACCATCAAATGTTACCGAATGCAATATTACTCCAGTTTTATAAAAATTCGAAACATTTTTCTAACAAGCTGGCTCTTTCTTTACCATTTAGAGCATCGATCAAAAGATATCCAACGGGAACTTTCCAGTGGTCATTCAATGCGACTACCATAAATACTAATGCATTGTTGCTTGTCGAGGAACATCTGTATCGTTACTCATATGTATACCTAAATCTACAAGTCCGTAATACCGTTTACCATCATATACTATGCCCTGTCGAATCGCAACTTCATCTACTACTAAATTACAAAAAATAGGTGTTTTGACTTAGAAACTTTACATTTTAATGCTTCAAATACTTTGTGAGTGAATCCAGGTCGACCATCTAATACCGAATACCACTTACGAATTGTTGAAAGATCTGGAAGAAAATTTTTGAAGTTTTACGTATATATTTGTACGCTTGGGCGAGTAGAAATTCAGCGTAAGGGCAAAAGCTTTTAGTTCTGCAGGGTATTTCTTTTTCGAACCTTTTTTTTGTTTCAAAATCTCATTTAATACTGTTGGAGCTTCAACCTAAATGTACAAATAAAAAAAGAAAACAGATCGTGATGTATAAAAATAAAAGCTTTTCTTCACATTGATCATTCTAAATATACAATTAAAAGTAAAAATTGTATTATAAAAATCGGAGCTTATATGTACATTAATTACTTAATTTAAATATACTGTGGCGATTACATCGTCACATACGTCCCTGAAATAAACGAGCGATAAACACGTATACGAATACGGTCACCGAGACATAAATAAATAGAAATAAATATAACAGACGAGACGAAAAGACGAGTAGTACAGAAACAAAGCAAGTAAACATATAGAAAATTCGCGAAGCCTCTCGAAGCCTAGCGAAGGGCGTTTTGAGGCAAGAGATAGGTAAAACATTGTTACATGCGAGAGATTCCGTTTTTGACAGTCGCCGCGTACGGACGCACATTATAAATCCGAACGATCGTATATGCATGTATCGACATTTAAAGTTGTGTTCAAGAATATACTCAGTTAATTACAATTACTGCCTCACGTTATTAATTCCCGACTCGTATCATACTTCCTGGTAATCGCGCCCCGCGAGACGAACGTAACGCGCGATATAACCAAAATACAAATAAAAATAAAAAGTCATGATATATAAAATCGTAGCTTTTTACAAATTGATTAATTTTTGTACAATTCAAACATTTATTACAAATTTTCTACAAGCTAATCAATAGAGCGATACTTTTTACAATTTATTAATTTTAAACAAATTCAATTAATTAAAATTAAGTTAAAGTTAAGTTAATTATTATTAATTATTATCATAGCCAAGAGTTACCATTAAATTTTCAGCTGTTGTTTCGGATAATAAATCTTTCTGCTTTAAATGTTGGATTAATCCTTTTATTATTGTTATGCGACTAACTAATCTGATTTTGGCTTGCTGCAACGTTTTGATTTTTCTTCGCTGTTTTTCGATTGTTCGTTTCGCTACTTCCAAAGCTCTTCGAGCTTTCCTTGGCGTGGCAAGATGTGGCGTTCTAATGGCACCAACAAAACGAGGGTCATGTAAATTTTTGACAGGTGTTTGGAAACAATAACTTCTTTCAGAGTTTGGAGATGTAGATGGACGATTCACAGTTAGGCAAGTATTAGAATTTAGTGTCTCGGTTTCATCAATAATGATTCCATCATCACGATGGATTCCCATATGAACAGTTTCATCAGTGATGATGTTATTATCACAATAGATTGTCTTGTCGACAATTTCATCACTGATTCCACCATTGCTGACGATTCCATTGTCCACAGTCATATCAATAATTTTATTGTCTATAGTCTCATCAATAATTCTATCATCCACAGTTATATGGGCAGTTCCATTGGTAATAACTCCATCATTAATGACAATTCCATCGTTGACAGTCATGTTAAAGGCAGTTCCATTATTATGATAAATTTTATCATTTACAGTTCCATTGCTAGCTATTTCTTCACTGATGTTATCATTGACAGTTCCATTGTTGACTATTTCTTCACTGATATTTTTCGAATTTTTTGATTTTTTCAGACTGCTATCTAAACATTGGTGTTTCTTCCTCTTTTTACTTGTAATAGTTGGCAGAGTATTGGACTTGAGAAACGTATTCTTCGATTTGTGAATTAATTTGTCTTCTTCAAAATGATTTGAACACAGTTTAGTAACTGTGCTTAAAACATTTTTATCAATGCCACAAAAATCCAGCCACTTCTTACGAGATTCGTCGTTTTTCGGAAATCTATTGAGAAAGAATAAAATTAATATTAAATTTTTATTATTAACAAGAATCGTACTGAGAGAGAGAGTTATATTTAATTCCATAATTTACTGTTTATATAAAATATTACAGTATTACTTACCCATGATAAGATACCGATTTATCACGTTTACCGCATAAGACACAATATGGGCCTGGCATTTTTTCTTAAATATAACGTTGAAATAAAACTTTGAAATTAACTTTAAATATAACTTTGAAATATAACTTTTTAGGTGACACCGTCATTTCCTAATCTTAACCTCTCTTACAAACAATAAAATGCGCTAACGCTGTGCGCCGTTTTGCTAATTCGCGCTTGCGCATTGCGGACGGAGGTAACAATCTACCCTTCTCTTTCTTTAAAACGTGGTTCTGTCTCGCACCCAACTTGGTCACAGGCTCGATCCTTTATTCCCCTTCCAGGTAAAGCACCTACGACACTCCATTGTAGAAGGCCCTTTACTCCCCGCGTTACTCCCGACAAAATGAGCGAATCCTATTTCGTACTGCTTACTGCTTAAGCAGGGTCTACAATGGCAGTAGGAGTACAGAGTACAAGAGTAAAGCGGGGAGCACACACTTTTGCATAGGCGCATAAGCGTAAACATAAGAATCTTGATTGGCCTATGAACGTATGCATAAGAAATTCAACCAATCGAATTTCTTATGCTTATGCTTATGCGCTTATGCAAGAGTGTGTGCTCCCCGCTTAACTGCTGCCATTGTAGCCTCCGCTTAATAATTAATAAAGCGGCGGTTTCACGACGCGCAGTTTTGTCGCTACCTCTCCCTCCATTAGACAAGCGACAAATATAGTCACGTGATCTCCGTTTGACGCTGGTTTCTAGCGTCAATGAAAACTGCATGCATCCAATTGGACTATTTCTCCCTTTTCGTAGAATATACTGTGGAATGAGCTCTATCTATATATTTTATGAACGACGAACATTGCAAACAAAAAAAGTGGGTGTATGGGCGATGTAAATTTGCCTTTAAGGCCGGGTCTAATAGCAGAGAGAAGTTAAGAAATTGATCAATCACAGTCGATTATTCCCCTTATTCTTGACTGTGATTGGTAAATTTCTTAAAGTTTACTACACCTTAGAGTTTACTACACCTGTTGTAGATCCGACCTAACCATTAAGAAACCAACCAAAAAAGTGTACAGGAGGCAACTCTAGATATACGAGTTCTATGAGATAATCACCTTTTTCTCTTGTGTGTTGTGTGTGTGTTTTATCATTTGTATCTGTCGTCGTATGCAAATGTTGAAAACAATCGAGTGCAAACTAAATCTTAGTATAAAATAAAATAATCAAATTGTAACATATGTGAAATGCATTTTATAAATTATGACTTTGGCAGAGATCAAAGATATTCTTGCATTTTGCGCTTCAATTTGTACGGTTTTACAGTTTTTGGCTGGCGTGTAAGTAAAAACACAATTTACATATAGTTTTAATATAATTATGTTTATGAGGTATTTTATAATTGTTTTTTATTTAAGAATTTATGGGAGTAATTTCTAATTTTTTTTGTTTGAAATTGTGTCTGATTATACTATGTTTGTTATATATTTTTATCAATTTGTAAACAAATGTGTTTTATGATGTTAAACAGCAAACTATCTATTTTATTTCTTGTATTTCTTCTCACATAATTATATATTTTTTTTATTTGAATTTTATGTAATTTACATTATGATTGTGCATTAAATATTGATTAATAATTATTATCAGTAATTATAAATATTTACCTGTATTATTGATCATCTGATTTATTTAAGATATTGCAATAATATTGTATAGCAATAATTAATGATTTTGAAGACACAAGATAAAACTAAAAATTTTTTTATAGCTTAGTGTGCAAGAAATATATTAGAAATGGTACAACTGGAGATAGCTCAAGTTTGGCCTTTATGACATGTTTTATGTCGTATGTATATATTATAATAAAAAAATACATATATATAATATTTAAGACACTATACAAACAGTGATTTAAATTTCTCTAGTTACATATTTATTATTACAGTTGTAGCTTATGGTTGCGATATGGAGTACTTATTGGAGATTGGTTTATTGTATGTGTAAATATCTTTGGGACAGTATTGCAAATATGCTATATGCTAATTTACATCTCATACAGTGTAAAAGGATCGACTACTGTTAAGCAGTTTATAGTAGCAATATGCTTTGTTTTATCTATATATTTCTACAGTATTTATCAAGAGGATAAAGTTTTGGCTGCAAAATATGTAGGATTTCTTAGTTGCAGTCTGACAGTATTATTTTTTTGCATCACCATTGATTTCACTTGTAAGTATGGAGAGGAATAAATTCTTTTATTCGCACATTTAAAAATTTTAAATTAAATATATTGGATAATAAAACAGTTTATTTAGAGGAAAATCAATTTGTTTTTAATGTTATATAATATTTATTTGTAACAAATTTTAAAATGTTAATAACAAATCTATAAATCTATTATAGGTACATGTAATAAAAGTAAAAAGCACAGATAGTTTGCCATTTCCAGTCATAGTATCTTCTATGATAGTGTCTTGTCAATGGTTTACATATGGATGTCTACTTGGTGACCAATTTATACAAATACCAAATTTTATGGGCTGTGTATTGTCAGCTTTTCAACTTTCTTTGTTTTTGATTTATCCAAGTAAACGAACAGATCAAGCCTATTTTATATAAAATATTGATTATAGTTTCTACTTGGAAAAGTAATTATATTAATATATATGTGTTAATGGTGTAAGATATACTATTAATTATAAATTAATAACTTTTCATAAAATTGTGTATCTTTATTTTATTTTATTTTCATTTATAACTTTATATCTCAAAAATAAACACTATAAACAATGGCTAATACGAGCTGCGAAAGTTAGGATGGTAAAAATTAATAGTCTTTCTGTCACTTATATACAATTTAATACAGGATGTTTCTGCACATACTTGTGCTTCTTCAGCCACTCAATAATCACTCCTTACATCAAATTATCATTATACAGTATTTGTGATCTATAAAGTAAAATAAAACACTATTCATTCGATCATTAAAACACACAAATAGTTAATACGTCCAACTTCCATGACAAAATAAAAATTCATCCAACGCAAAAACTCACCGTTACACGATCTAGGATCCTAGATGTGTTTTATTTTACTTTATAGACCACAAATACTGTATAATGATAATTTGATGTAAGAAGGAATGATTATTGAGTGGCTGAAGAAGCACAAGTATGTGCAGAAACATCCCGTATTAAATTGTATATAAGTGACAGAAAGAATATTAATTTTTACCATCCTAACTTTTGCAGCTCGTATTAGCCGTTGTTTATAGTGTTTATTTTTAAATTTAACGAGCCTTTTGATTATATTGTTTGATTTATATCTCAAATTATACATAATTAAATTGTTTTATATATATGATAAAATACTAGTAATACTGTATATTTATATATATACAGGGTGTCCCGTAATGTGATGTCCACAATGAAACTTTGTATTCTTAGGATCATTCTAAGTCAAAAAGTCTTAATACATATATGCCCTAAAGTCGAGTGTTTTAAAGTTATAGCGAAAAGTCGAAATTGCATATAATAAGTATTATTTATTGATGATAATAATAATTTATTTATTGAACAATAACATATAATAATTAACTACTTTATAAACTGTGCGGTAATGTAAGTCATAAAGGTGTTTTTCTCGCACTTGTGGCAAATTGCATCACACTTATATTCGCTTTTATAGAGTTTTTATTTTTAACAGATATTTCTGATGCAATAGGATGAAAAAAAATATGTAGCTAGTTAAATTACATATATTTTTTTGTGTGTACGAAAATGTAGGATGAGTTATTCTCGTTTACTAGGCTTCCAAATTGATATCTAAACATTCACTTATATTCTTTTATCTAATGCCAAAACTGGCCTGGTCTTATTTTGTATGTACAAGCTGCCAATAAAAATAATAATCTATTTATACTTTATCTAACCTCACATTTTGTCGATAAAACAGAAAAAAAGTTATAAGGCCAACTTAACGAGCTAATTAATTAAATGTTAACAATTTATTCTAAGTCATGAAAATAATACAAATGATAATTAGTAAACGTTTTGACTGCACGACAGTCTTTATCAATACAAATATCGCTTTGCTAACATATCCATAAATCAAATAATTTGGAAAGACCGAACTTATATCATACATGTAAAATATATAGACTTATAATATGAAAAACGCAGTATAACACATAATTGTTGGCTTGAATTACGGCTGATCGTTTGAATTAGTCGTTAAAAAACTCTCCGGCATCCCTTAAGACCTCGTTCAACTAATCAAATGGCCGCATAGCATCTCTTGATTGGTTGAACGAGGTCTTAAGATAATCTTAAATATAAGAACGGACTATGAATACCGCCCTATGATTTACATTACTGCACAGTTTATAAAGTAGTTAAATTATTATATAATATTATCGTTCAATAAATAAAATTGTTATCTTCAATAAATAATACTTATTTTATTATATGCAATTTCGTCTTTTCGCTGTAACTTTAAAACAATCGACTTCAGGGCATATGTGTATTAAGACTTTTGATTTAAAATGATCCCAAGAATACAAAGTTTTACTGTGGACATCACGTTGCGGGACATCCTGTATAATATAATATATTTGTATAGTAAATTTCCTTAAAAGTTTATTAGTTTTTGTACCTCTTTTTATATATTTTTATAAATACTATAATAGCATTTTTGCAGTAGATTTGATCGCTTTAAGATCGATTAAATCCACTTTATTATGAATTAATTAACTGGAAATATGTTTTGAATATGAGTACATGTTTTATTTATAACAGAATATAAAAATAAATGAAATGGCGAATTGCATCACACTTAATAAAATTTGCTTTTATACAGTTTTCATTTTCAACAGATATTTCTGATGCAATGGGATGCAAAAAATATATAGCTAGTTAAATTACATATTTTTTCTTAAAAACAACCATGTATTTTCTTTGCATTAATTGATTTCTCTCATATTTTGTATATAAAAGTATTAAGATCGATGACGGATGAATATTTTATGAGATATTTTATGATTTATATAAAATTATGTTAAAGTATAAAATGTATCTTGTGTGTAAACATAAACTATATATATTCACTTTTTGACCATACTCATAACTTTATTTTGAATATTGCGAGGAATCAATTTATACAAGAAAATTATAAAGGTAATTTGATTTAAAAACAAATAACTTAAATAACCTAAAAAATCGCCCTTTAAAAAAGTGCCAGCTTTTTTCCTCTTAAAATCTTACAGCTTTTGTTTAAAACATTTTTTTCTAAAATATACATATTGTTAAAAAAGATTTGAAATTATCATTGAAAATGGGATACCTTTCCCACACAGCACAAAACATTTCAGAGACCTTTGCAAAATTTATTCAAAAATGTTTCATATACGTCTTAAATACGTGAAAATGTCCGTTATTTTGTCACAAATATGTTTATGAAAGATTGCATAAATGTTTCAAATGTTACTTTTTCTATGTTATGTTTCTTAGATGTTGTAATAACGTTTTAGTGTTACTTGAAACTTTTTTGAAACTTTGAAACGTTTCTGCAACATTTTTGTTGAGTTTTGTGCTGTGTAGGTTGTAAGTAAATATACCAAAAAGGGGGCTTTCCACTAATGACCTTAACCCCCCCTCTTGACGCATATAATAAAGATCTCTCTCTCTCTCCTGAAGGTTTCAGTTATTGCTCATTATTTATTAAAAAGTTATTAATAAAAAAATTTCCATGAATTTAATTACTTTCACAAATTCTTAAAAACAGTTTTTAAGAATTATGTGTAATTTTTATAACACCATGTACGCATTCAATAGAGCATAAGGCCGGGTCTACAATAGGTGTAAGTTCTAAGCCTTAAGAAATTGATTAATCACAGTCAATTATTCCCCTCATTCTTGACTGTGATTGGTGAATTTCTTAAAGCTTAGAGCTTACTACACCTGTTGTAGATCCGGCCTAATTTTTAGCAGATTTATTTATTTAGGTCGGGTTGCAATAGGTGTAGTAAGCTTTAAGACTTAAGAAATTGATCAATCACAGTCGATTATTCCCCTCATTCTGCACTGTGATTCGTGAATTTCTTAAAGCTTAGAGTTTTTACTACACTTATTGTAGATCCAGCCTTATGCGTAAAGGCCGTTCTACAATGGAGTATCGTAGGTGGTAGTCGTAAGAAATTGACCTATCACAATCGATTATTTTTGAAATAAAAAATCAAATGCGTAAAAGGAGAAAGGACTCAGCTTTTTCGGGAATAAAATGATAATTTATAGATATATTACCCTGAAAGTAAACTGATGTCATTAAACGTCAAAATGACGTCATTTTGACGTTTAATGATGTTATTTTGACGTCCAATAACGTCAAAATTACGTATGCTTGCTACCTAGAGTTCTTCGAGTAAGAATTAAGGGGATGCTGGAGTAACGGTCGAACTCCGATAGGTTTAGCACCACATATCTGAACATACACATGTATACACATATACACACAATAGGTTAGCACCACACATATCTAAACATATGCACGTATACACACATGCGTAAAAATTTTCTGCACCGTTTTCTTATTTATTAGGCTTCTAAACTTATATCTAAAAGTTTACTAATAATTTTTCATTCAATTTCTAGTTGGAACCTATTTTATTTTGTATATACTTACAAACAGCAGAACTTTTATATTAAACAATTATTTTTTGATCTGACGACAGAAGTCGATAAGAAATTTTAGTTTTTTAATTTTTTTCTTGTTTTAATATAAATTCTATAGATTCCCACTTTATTTCAATACGTATTTTAATTGTGGAAAAGCATTTATTATTTTATTAAACTAATAACAAGTTTTCGGTACAGAAAGATCTATAACATCCGATCGATAAAATAGACATCCAGCATCCCTTTAGACCGGGTCTACAATAGGTGTAGTAAGCTCTAAGCCTTAAGAAATCCACCAATAAGACCAGGTCTACAATAGATATAGCAAGCTCTAAGCTTTAAGAAATTCACCAATCACAGTTAAGAATGAGAGGAATAATCGACTGTTATTGGTGGATTTTTTAAGGCTTAGGCCGGCGTCCCATGGAGCGGATTACGCGGAAGCGGAACCAGCGGATCGCCAATCACGGAATCGTTCCGATGGAGCTCATCGATAAGTTCTATCGGAACGATTCCGTGTTTGGCGATCCGCTGGTTCCGCTTCCGCATAATCCGCTCCATGGGACGCCGGCCTTAAAGCTTACTACACCTATTGTAGACCCGGCCTAACAGTCGATTATTCCCCTCATTCTTAACTGTGATTAGTGAATTTCTTAAGGCTTAGAGCTTGCTACACCTATTGTAGACCTGGCCTTAAGCAACAAGGGGTCGATTCCTGATTGGTTCCACTAGTTACAGCCAAGAAGTGAGTAATAAAGAGACAAAAATAAACAAAGGATAAGACAAAGTTATTCGAGATATGTGGTAGTGACACAGATAATCTGTGATAGTGATGTAATGGTATTAGTATATAATGTATGTATGTATACGCATAGACATAATGTTTATGGTATACGATACCAGTTACAGATTAATAGACAGATCGCCAAAGGCCTGTCTAAAGAGGAGACCGTCATTTTTGCCCCTTACCGACACACTTTGCCCCT